TGTGGCCTGCGCCCCACCAGGGACAGAGGCTGCTTCGCGGCACCCTCCCCTGCCCTTCCCCTTGCTGCCTCTGACAGGTGTGGTAGTGCACGGGGTGGGGGCAGGCAGCAATGCAGAACTGGGGAGGAACCAGCTTTTAAGCTGGCTCCCCCCTAGCACTGGCTCCCCCTACTCCTCCACCCCCATGGTGCTGCCTCTGACAGAGAAGCAGCAACATAGAAGGTGAGGGAGGCAGGTTGGAGCCAATACTTGTGGGAATCGGTTGCCTATTGGAATACTGTGCATATTGGTTAACATGCACCCGCTTCCCCCCTCCTTCCCCAGTGCCTCCTGCAGCAGGGAAAGGGGGGGGACAGCTGATTGGCAGAGCACCCACTGCTAGGTTTTGTTTCTACTGGTGATGCACATAGGCACGAGCCTCAGCACAGATTAAAAAAAAATATATTCTGCCCATGGATGGACAAGGTTAGAGGGAACACTGATTAAGAGTCCCTTAAAAGAAGAAACATCAAGTAATGCTAAACAGATCTACCAGCACCAGTGGTGCAGGTAGCCAATATTTCAGTTCACTAACCAAAACGTTAAAAGTAACTAACTCTGTTGGTGTCAAACTAAACAATTATTTCAATCTAAAACATTTTTTGACTAACGGGAAGAGGGAGGGGCTGTTTTTTCTTTACTTTTTTAAATAAAACAATTATTCTTCAAAACAAATAAACTGTTTAAAACAAACAAATCAAAAGGTTTTGTTTAAAAAAAAAAAGTCAAAATTGATTTCTCCTCCCTTTCCCCAATCCTGTTTTCAACTGGTCAAATCTGACAGATTGATGAAATTTTTGGTTGACCCAGATCTGCATTTTTGACCAAAATTTCATCCAGTTCTATGTCCAAACACAGGAATTTTTTTAGACTAACTTGACAGGGCCATCTTTTCATGCTAGGTTTGTATAGGGCCTAGCACAACGGTGTCTAAGCCTGGAGGTGCTGGTTGCTATCACCATACACGGAGGAGTTGATTATATGGGGAAGGATTAAACCATCAAGCAGGGTTGAGCAAGAGAATAAGCCACAACACAGACCCAAACTCCAGATGGGATAAAGACCTTGAAATTAAAAGACTATCAAAATTGCAAGGTCACTTTTAGAGATTGCATAGCTGAAAATTCAGTTTCCACGTCTATACCTACTCAGAGCTGGCTGCGTTCAGAACCCATAACTACACAGAAATGGGTAATAAAAAAACAAAACAAAAAAACTGTTCCACTTATGGAAAGGGGGCCTGTGTTTAACAGAACCTCTCAACATCTTTCTACCCTCCAATAAAAATGCAGTGCCTCCCAAATAGCAGTCAGAGAGGGGATTCTCAGCTCCAGACAATCCCCAGTGTTACAAAATGTACTGCTGCACTGGGCTTCTAACAATCTAATAGGTACTTAACGCTGCATAGACTACAAGGCAGCTGCAACAACAAGAAGTCCTCTGGCACCTTAGACGCTAACAGATGTATTAGGGCATAAGATTTCATGGGTAAAATCCACTTCATCAGATACACTGGAGTGGAAGTTACCGAGGTAGGGGTGTATTATAAAGGGGGAAAAAAAAAAGGAGGGTACTTGTGTAAATGAGGCAGCTAGTTTTCTCTGTACAGGATGCAACATTCATGCCCCTGAGGGCCCAAGTATGCCCCCATGCAAAATAAATGCAACAATTCACACGTCACACTTGAAGTCTTATGTGCTCTGGCAAGATGCACCTCAATCCGTGGATTCTGTTGCACGCTAGTGTGACGGATGCAAAGTTCTGCAGCAGTGACCAGACCATTTGTTGTTTTTTTCTGTAACAGACTAACTCGGCTACCCCCTGAAGCTATTTAATTCAAGCGATTCCAATGTGAAAATACAGTCATCTCTGAGTAAGAGGTCTGGATAGCCTCGCCAATGCTATGCTGTGCCCACACTCCCAGTTTTCAGTATAAACAGATCATGGGACAGTACTGACCACAAGGCAGGGGCTGGAAGTCAGGGGAAACCTGGGGATTTTGGCAGATGCAGCTGGAGTTTTAGGGACTGGGAAGGAGCACCGGGTTGTGGGATAAACACATTCGCTCAATGTG